CCTCATTGCATCTGAACCTCTATTAGAGCATCAGTTCCAGTGGTCCTTGTAAAGCTCTATGATGTCTCCCGTACATGATGTAAGCTCCACAGCTGCAAGGACCATGCCTTGTTTTTCTTCACATCCCCTGAACCTAGGACAGCACCCTGCACAGTATGTGTTCCATAACAGTTGGCTAAACTGAAATCTAATATATTTCTCATTGAATTGGAACATAAACGGCAAACCATATTATGGCCCAACAAGTTCCTCATTAAGCAATGGTTGCATACTGGACTGTGCTGGAAGCTTACGGCTTATTTTTGTCTCATAAAAACAACTCCCTCCCCAACTTCTATATACAACATCCAAAGCACAATCAACTACACACCTATACACATACCCTAAAATGCTTTCGTATTGGTCTGAATTTTTTTTCAAGAGTAATTAATTACTCTCTTGGGGTATGCAGGAACTAAGTATCACTTTTTAAATACCAAGAAGCTATTTACGCGCCTTTATCTTTAAACATATACACGTCATTACGATTTCAGATTCATGTGCTCATTCATTCTTTTCCATGAACATTTACTTAACTGCCTCCTTGTGCCTGGCACGGTATGAGAGGCTGAGGATCCAACCAAAGCAGCAGCTACACTCAGCTCGTTAGGTGCCAAGACTGTCGGGTTTGCATGCAGGAGTGCGAACGTCTTAGTTACCGCGGGTGGCACAGGGAATAGGAAAACTTGCTGCGAAAAAGCAGAAAGCGTCCCACTGCACGGCCCCGCCGGCCGGTGTCCCGGCACGTCCCGGCACGTCCCGCCCCCAGGCACCTCACACCACTCACTCTGCGAGCCAAGCCCGGAAGGGGTGAACAGGGGTGCTCGCGGGTGCAGCGGCGGAAACGCGCAGGTGCTGCCTCTCCGAGCGCTCCGGGTAGCCTCTTCTTGGTCCGGGGTCCAACCGCCGCGGTACCCTAGTGTAAGTCGGCCTCTCCGCAGACTCTGGGCAGGAAAACGAAAGTACCAAGCTGCCTCCTTCCGCCTCCGCCAGTCACTGAGCGGCTGCAGCGCTCAGCCAATCAGACGCGGCTGTTCCGCCGGCATCACCACCTCCCGCCGCGGAATGTTC